ACGAGAAAAGGGCGGTAATAGGGATGCCCAGTCCCAAACTGCAAAATATAAAAAGAGTTAATCGCTTGAATAATCAAACAAAGACTCCCAATGAAGTCAAAACCTTTACTTTTTATCGCTTGGGAACCGCCACTAGCTTGTTTAGCATGGGAGATATTGATAACTGATAGTCGTGAAGTAAATGAGAAGGGTGCATGTCTCAAAATATCATTTATCTCTGTTTTAAAACTTGAGCTCTGGCACCTCTGCAAATCACTGCTTCCCTCTGCGAAGGGACTATCTATTTACTTTTATGTTGTGTCATCACCTTCTAAAACAAGCGCTAGAACCTGAGAGCACAACTGTCATGACTTATGCATTGTGTGTAGCTAATGTTGGGTGCATCATGACTGAATCTTTTCTATCATGAATTACAATGTTTAGTCGCTACTCGGACTTTGGAGGTGCTCTGCATTTATGTTTTGTGGTCTCAGAAAGGGCTAGCGAGATACCATTATTGTTATATTATAGCATGGTTGTTTTGACAACATGTTGCCGTTTGAGATGTCTTATTATTGCTCGCTAGCTGATTGTGTCATTGATATGAGTTAATATAATCTTTAAGAGTTATTTTCGGCATGGTTAGTTATAATGTTGGCTGAAAACATGGGTGCTGTTTAAACTTATTTATGCAAACAAGAGCAAAAGAGTTCATAAAAGTTTCTCTTTTTTCACTTTCAGTTTATCAACTGAATTGCTTAAGGACAAGCAAAGGTTTAAGCTTGGGGAGTTGATACGTATCCAACGTATCTACTTTTCCTAGCGCTTTTCCACTTGTTTTGAACTCTAATTTGCATGATTTGAATGAAACTAACCCCGGACTGACGCTGTTTTCAGCAGAACTACGATGGTGTTGTTTTTGTGCAGAAATAAAAGTTCTCGGAATGGAACGAAACTTTGCGAGGAATTTTTATATAATATATAAGAATTTCTGGAGCCAAGACCTACCGGATAGGGGCACCTAGGTGGGCACAACCCACCAGGGTGCGCCCCCCTCTCCTAGCATGCCCAGGTGGGTTTTTCCCACCTGGTGGCCCCGCAGACCCTGAAACCAACGCTATAAAATCCTATTTTTCCAGAAAAAAATCAGGGAAAAAGAATTATCGCGATCCACGAGATGGAGCCGCCATCACCTCCTGTTCTTCATCGGGAGGCCAGATCTGGAGTCCGTTTGGGGCTCCGGAGAGGGGGATCTTCATTCTTCATCATCACCAACCCTTCTCCATCGCCAATTCCATGGTGCTCCCCACCGGGAGTGAGTAATTCCTCCGTAGGCTCGTTGGTCGGTGAGGAGTTGGATGAGATTCATCATGTAATCGAGTTAGTTTTGTTAGGGCTTGATCCCTAGTATCTACTATGTTCTAAGATTGATGTTGCTATGACTTTGCCATGCTTAATGCTTGTCACTTTGGGCCTGGGTGCCATGATTTCAGATCTGAACCGTTTATGTTATCACCATTACATCCATGTTCTAGATCCGATCTTGCAAGTTATAGTCACCTACTACGTGTTATGATCCGGCAACCCCGGAGGGGCAATAGCCGGGACCACTCGTGGCGATGATCGTAGTTTGAGGAGTTCATGTATTCACTATGTGTTAATGCTTTGTTCCGGTTCTCTATTAAAAGGAGGCATTAATATCCCTTAGTTTCCAATATGGACCCCGCTGCCACGGGAGGGTGGGACAAAAGATGTCATGCAAGTTCTTTCCATAAGCACGTATGACTATTTACGGAATACATGCCTACATTATATTGATGAACTGGAGCTAGTGCCATATCGCCCTAGGTTATAACTGTCTCATGATGAATATCATCCAACAAGCCACCGATCCAATGCCTACGAATTTATCCTATAGTGTTCTTGCTAAGTTACTACTGCTATCATCACTGTTACACTTGCTACAAAACTACTGCTATCACTGTTACCGTTACCGTTACTGTTGCCACTATTATCAAAACTATCATATTACTTTGCTATTGACCACTTGTTGCAGATAATTAATCTCCAGGTATGGTTGAATTGACAACTCAGCTGCTAATACCTTCAAATATTCTTTTGGCTCCCCTTGTGTCGAATCTATAAATTTGGGTTAAATACTCTACCCTTGAAAACTGTTGTGATCCCCTATACTTGTGGGTTATCAGATGCCGGCCGCCGAGGGGACACGGATCCACGTGCATCGATGCCACCGGGCCGCTCTCTCGACCGCGACTCCATGCGAGTCGAGAACTGCGCCCGGAGGTCCTGCTCCCGTGCCAGCTCCCCCGCCGTTACCAGCGACTCCTCCTGAGGTCGCTTGTTTCGGTTGTGCGCATGCAACCTCCTCTCCTTCTGCACCCGCCTCGCCTTCGCCACCAACTCTGGTGCCGCCGCCATCGAAATGAATCGAGCACTTCGCCCCCACCTCCTGATGTCTCGTGGAGCAGCAGGAAACCCTATCTTGAATGGCTTGTCCCCTCTTCGAACCTACCACCAACGCTTATAAGGAGGTCGGCGCGCCACAGGGTTTGACAAGATATGGGCCGACCCAAACATGGCCCATCACAACGCCATATGACTGTAGCACTATCAGGGCAGGGAGCAGGACTGTGGGGGACAATAGCTTGGTGGGGTAGGAGAAAAAAAGGGAATGAGGTCATGGTTGCACCCATGGCTCTCTATCTCTCTTGCAGCGCCATTGGGGGATTTGTAGCCCTGCGTGTGAGATCGAAGTAGAGTAGGAGCTCATCCATGGCGAGCAGATGGACATGAAGTAGTACAGAAGACATAGATGGACTCGAGATGTAGAGTAGGAGTCGTAGCATTCGGCACCGCTCCGCCCGCTCCGGGAGCAGAGCTCGGGAGCAGAGTCGATCCGAACAGGCCCTAGGATGAGGGGAGAAACTAGTGGTCGAGAGATTGACTGTGCTTAGGGTGCTTGGGGCTCACCCATTAGACGCGTGGATGTGCGATGGTAAAAGAGTGTGCGCTGCGTGAGGCGACCGAGGAATCATTTTTCTTTGGTAAACATTTGGGGACGGTGCGCCGGCCGAAGCTTCGGCCGGTCGCGTCCCACACGCGAACGCTGCAACGAATCCAAACGCGACACGTAAGGTGCAGGGACCACCACTTGCATCGTCCTGTTTTCTTCTCCACTCGTCCTGTTTTCTCCCTTATCTTCTCGCCTGAGCCCACCTCGCGCCGCGCTGCAGTTTTTTCTCGCTGCAACCTCCTCGACCAGGCCCGACAGCATCTCGCCGGAGAT